TAAAAGTTAAGCCACCAACCTGACTAAAGTAGTCATCCAAAAACATTATAGCATGATCGTCCTGTCCAGTACTTAATTTGAAAGTACGTATAACTCTTTCCCTCCTAAGTGACTGTCACATAGATACTCAAAAAATCTCATTAGCTGTTACAGTTAGGTGCAATGCAGACAAATGAGAGAGTGGAAAATGCAAGAGAGAACTTCAGAAGGTGTAAACTGAAAAGTAATTGGTCATCAAAAGTCAAAACGAGGTCTACAAGCTATTCATGACAGACTCAATAACCAGTAAAATTTCTGCAGCCACAAGATGCAAGTCTACCAAATTCTTTGGACCACATTTTTTGAGATGGAATTATATTTCTTTGGACCACATTTTGTGCAGCAATAATCTTACTTAAGAGAGAGATGACTTAAAGAGCAAACTCATGATCTCAAAGAAGACAAATTTTTGAAGTTGACCAACAATTTCAGTCAATAAAGCAAAATAAGTATTGTCTAAACTATATTTTAGTCAAAGAGCTACCTCCAAGTCTCTGTCCACTTGTGTCCGGTCCTTTACGCTGCTGTATATCTGTGACCGCAAAATAAAAGGCTGAATTGAAACCTGAAAACATTTTCTTGAAGAGTTGAGAAATTGTGGAACTCTAGAAGGGTAAACTGATGCGAAAACGACTTAGAAAACTTCAAAATGCGAAAGAGTGGAATAGTAAAACAAACAGAAATATTGCATTGTTTGGAATGATATGAAATGTTCTCTAAGAAATTGATTGACCTCCTACTATCACTTACCACGGTTGGTTTATCTTAAATTGCTAAAATGTTTTCACCAATAATTTTTTTTCAAAGAGGATATAATTCACGTCTTTCAAAGTTGCAAGTCATTTTGCGTTACAACATCTCGCCTCATATTACGTAGCACTTGCTCCACCCATTATCCACCCCTCACCCTTTGCAATTACTCCTTCAAGTCCAACCAAAAAGCCAAAAATGATACTATTACTAGTTTGTATGTAATATAATTTTATTACATATTTCCATAGAAACAGCCAATCAGGGCCTTAAAGCATAAAATTAGGACTATAAGATTCTAACATTTTACCCCTCTAAGGTCTACGCTATGATGCTAGAATTAGCTTATGAGATTCATAAAGTCAACCATCCACAGCTGTCATAACTATGAAAAGGTCATTTAATCGAATCACAACATCATAATGTCGTCATATTCAATCTGCTGCCTCTCATACCATCATATTTTGCCTTCAGCGGACTTGCTCTATTCAATCTGGCACATGTATAGCTCTTAGCTCCTTCACTATAACTAGTCAGAAACATGAACATACCTCAAACTTAGGTCTCCCGTACTAGAAAAATTCAATATTGTATCGAACTCTATATTACTAGTACGACGTTTGGTTTCCAACATAAAACTCTTCATTACTAGTATAAAGATTAAACTCCATGTAACCAACACCAACATCACTTATGAGAGAATATATAATGTGTATTTTTTTTATATGTGGAATAAGAATATGTGTACTAACAACGCATAGATAAGAGCACCTAAAATAACAAAAATAACTTTTAAAAACAACCCGACTTGGCTTAGAGTTAAAAAAAATATATCTTTTGGTAATAAGAATAAAGCCATGATAATAATAAAAAGCATATTTTTATTTTAAAAAATGTTTAAACTAAAACTTGTACAACTCTGAATATTAATTAGTAAATCTAATTTCTGAATAATCCTATACGGCCCGTTTTACTGGCTATAATATTTCCATGAACCCATATTATAGTATTTTGATTAATGGAGTATTATCAATCACCCTTCGGTATTTCAAATACTCCCTCCGTTCTAATTTACGTGAACATGTTTGGTTGATCACGAAGTTTAAGAAAAAATAAAGACGTTTAGACTTTGTGATCCTGAACAAGTCAGAAAAGGGTCCAGAGTATTTATGAGTTTATAAAAGCTTTTCATCAAAGATAGAAAGGGTAGAATCGGAAGTTTAAGCTAAATTATTTTTAAATTTAGAAATAAATCATTCTTTTTGGAACGTACTAAAAAAGAAAATAGTTTCAGATAAACTTGAACAGAAGGAGTAGTATTTATAGTTCTAACTGTTTCTAACTACTAATTATCTACTGCATAACAAATCTATGTATAATAAATAGTTCGAGAACCAATTCATGGTATTACGATTATTCACTGCATAACAATCCCTTATTATACAACAACAATGACAATTATGCCTCAGTACTGCACAAATTTTGAGTTCGGCTACACAAATCCTCACTGACCATGTTTCTCCATTTAAATCAATCTCAGGGTAACATTATACAATCTCTTTCTAATATAATTCCTGCTAAATAGTTTATGAACTATTTCATTAATTCTATCCATAATTATCAAAATGACAATAAAAAAAATAAAAAATTGAACCTTTTCAATGTGGGGAAACTGAGCACACATCATGCGAAGAGCTACTAGTGTATCGCTGAAGTTGAAATTTTCCTCCAGTGTAAGAAACTGTGCGTCGTTAAGCTCTAATTCGGGTTCGGGTTCGGGTTCGTCGTTGCGTTGGCGTTTTCTGCTTGTTGATGGGCTCGTGTTCTCCATTGTTTTGTGTATGGCAATTTTTTCCCTCTTTTCCTTTTTGATATGAGGAGGTGGCGTGCCGCTTTGTAATAGTAAATATACAAATATACCCTTTACTGATACTTCCTCTGTCCCGAAAGATTCATTTTTTAATTTGTCCCAGAAAAAATATCCTATTTTAATATTTATAAGTAATTCAACTTTAAATTCTTTTTACCCTTAATAAAATAAATTATACCCACTCAAAGAGCTAAAGCTTATATTAAGACAATAAGAAGCAAAAATTTCTTTTTTTTTTAAAGTTCCGTGCCTAATCTCTTAAATTATATGCCTAGTATAAAATATTTCAATTTTGATTTTACATTCAGTATATTATGGGGTCATTCGTATGCTTATTGTTAGAAAAAATGGCACGTATTTACTCCACGTATTATGATGAAGGGGGGCATAAAGTAAAAATTAGGGGAGTAAGAATAATTCATCTATCGCGTATTCCAAAAGTATAGTTACCTTTGGGGCGTGACACTTCAACTAGAGGAGCAATCAATTGGTTCACTGTACCCGATTTGAGAGAGGTATTTGTATCTATACTTGCTTTTTATGTTACATTTTAATTTGTATTCGTTTTGCAAAAAAAATTGTAAGTATATTCGGTTTTTTGCGTAACTTCAACATACGAAGATGAAGTAGCAAAGGCAATTTTTTTTTTTTTTTGGTAATTAAACTTTTTATTAATCACCAAAGTGTTAACCTTACAAATCCATAGCCCAGTTTATATCTCAACTGGCTATCCAAACTGAAACAAAAACTATCCTAGTATTAAAGTAAAAACTGGTTAAGTAATATCCCTAGCCTAGGAGGAGCTCTAACATTACAATTGTAAGCAATATTCCTAAGTAGTTTGTCACTTGTACAATATGTATTTTCGAATATTCTCGCATTCCTTTCCAGCCAAACAACATAAAACATCTCCGTCATTGTCATTTTGAATATGTGAGCTCGAGGGGATTTGCCTTTAGATTTGTCAATGAGCCATTGAACAAACTGAAGCCAGTTTTGTCCATGAAATTGCTCAACTCCAATCCATTGTAACATTTGATTTCTCAGTTGAGTTGCATAAGAGCACTCCAGGAATAAATGTTCCCTAGTTTCCACATCTTGTTGGCACATGACACAAGTGTCTGTTACAGCCAGATTCCATTTGATCAACCTTGCTTTGGTGGGCAGTCTATCCTGCAGGAGGAGCCATAAGTTGAAGATTGCTTTGGGTCGAGCAGCATTCTGAATTGTTAGGTTCTTCCATCTAACTCTTGGTGCCTCTCCTATCTGTTGTAGGTAGAGCTGTCTAATAGTGCACACAGATTTATCCAGCATTTGGTGTTGCAGCAGTAGTTCAATGCCTTCAAGGATCTTCCTAACCATCCAACTTGCCTGCTTAGGGACAATGATGGTTTCCAATTGCCTCTGTTTGATATACACTGTATGGATCCATTTCACCCATAGAGCATCCTTCTTGTGTGCCAAATCCCAGGTGAGTTTAGAGATAGCAGCCTTGTTCCACAATAGTAAATTAATCAGGTTTAATCCACCAGCAGATTTTGGCATACAGATTTTGTCCCAAGCCACATATGCTTTCCTTGACACACTAACTGATCCTGACCAGATGTATGATCTACACATTGCCTCAAGTAGTTTCATGATCTTGGAGGGTATTAAAAATAATTGTGCCCAGTATGCATGTATCCCAAAGATAACTGATTGAACCAGCTGAATTCTGCCAGCATATGAAAGATGTCTGGCAGTCCATGAAGTAATCCTGGCAGCAACTTTGTCAACCAGTGGCTGCCATTGCAAAACAGTCAACTTCTTGGCAGTCAAAGGTACTCCCAAATACCTAAAAGGAAGTTCTCCACGTACATATCCCAGGAGATCAATAATCTGCTGCTGATCCTGAGGTTTCACCCCTCCAAAATAGATAGCACTCTTATGCAAGTTTGCTGTCATACCAGAAGCAGCAGTGAACTGAGAGAAATAAGAAAGCATAGTACTTACAGAAATAGAATCTCCTTTAACAAACAGCAACAAGTCATCAGCAAAACTTAAGTGAGTTATTCCCAGTTTTTTACAACCAGGATGGAACACAAACTGTCTGTTTTGTCTCAACTCAACCAAAGACCTACTGAGATACTCCATCACAATAGCAAACAGAAAGGGGGATATAGGATCCCCTTGCCTCAGTCCTTTGGCTGCTTGAAAGGGCTCAGTTGTCTCACCATTAACCACTACTGTATAACTAACAGTTTGAACACATTCCATGATCCATCTTGTAAATTTGGGAGGGAAATCCAGTTCTTCCATAACCTGCTGTAAGTAGCACCATTCCACTGAATCATAGGCTTTCTGCAAATCAATTTTGATCATACACCTGGGAGAGATATGAGACCTGGTATAATGCTTTATTAATTCATGTGCTAAGATGACATTATCTGCTATTCTCCTTCCTGGAATAAAGCCTGCCTGTGCATTACAGATAATACTACTCATGACTTTCTGGAGTCTATTGGCCAGCAACTTGGATATAATTTTGTATAGGACTGAACAGCAAGCTATTGGTCGAAATTCTTTGACTGTTTTGGGACTAGAAACCTTGGGAATTAGGGTGAGTGTAGCACAGTTTACAGGTTTGTGCATTTTGCTGGTTGCAAAGAAATTCTTGACTGCTTGAATCACATGATGCCCTATGATAGGCCAAGTATGTTTAAAGAATATAGCATTATAGCCATCTATCCCTGGGGCTTTATCATTACCAATTGCCTTCAAACTGTTTAAGATTTCTATGTCAGTAATGTCATCTGATAATTCCATCTTTTGCTGGTATGAGAGTTTAGGACCATTGTTCATATACCTTTTGTTGACTGCTGGTAAAGAAATGGCTGCTGTACCCATGAGTGATTTATAGAAACCTGTAATCTCCTTTTGTAGATCAACTGGATCAGTTATCTTCAGTCCTCCTTCTGTGGTCAATTCAGTAATCCTTTTAAATTGGTTTCTCTCCTTCATTACTGCTGAGAAGTATTTATTGTTTAAATCACCTAGCTGGATCCATCTGGCTCTAGATTTCTGTTGCAGTGCTGATTCTTCAAGCAAAGACCATTTTTCCAATTGCTGCAGCAGGGCTTTTTCTCTCAGTTGTAGATTGTCTGTATATGCCATAGCCATCTGTCGTTGGACAGCTTCCAATTCCTTTCTACTATTCTCAATCTTCTGTGTAATACCCTTAAATTCTCTAGAATTTAGAGATTTTAAGGCAGGCTTGAGGGCTTTGAGGTTATTCCACACTCCTTGCAAGGTACACTGAACATTACTTTTCCATTTAGCTTTGACCACAGATTGGAAATCCTTACTATGAGTCCATACATTGTAGAATCTAAATGGTATCTTCCTGCTGTGAGCATCTTCAGTTAGGGATAATAGCATGGGATTATGATCAAATATAAAGGGAGCTCCATATGCAGTGTGCACATGATTCCATTTCATCATCTATTCATAATTGCCAAACACCCTATCTAATCTGCTATACACTCTGTCATCACCACTTTGCTTATTGGTCCAGGTAAAGAAATCCCCTCTCCATGGCAGTTCAGCCAGGCCAGCTTGTTGTATGCAATTGTTAAACTGCACAGTCTCTCCTTGCTTGACTGGTTGGCATGATTGTCTATCATTACTTGACAATATGGCATTGAAGTCTCCTGCAATTATCCAAGGATCATTCATACATGTAGCCAGATTCTGAATATTCTTCCACATTGTTCCCCTCTGAACATTATCATTTGATCCATATACTACTGTGAGATAACATAGAAGCTCTCCACTGAGAATCCTAACACTGCAATGAATGAGTTGAGCATCCTCCTGCACTCCAGAGATCAAATACTTTGTGGGATCCCAAAGGATCCATATTCTTCCATTTACTGCTCCATTGTAGTTAGTAATTATAATCCAGTTAGGCAACAAAAAACTAGCTATTCTATCTGCATTTTTTTGTTTAACCTTTGTCTCTACAAGACTAACAAGGTCAAAGTTATTGGTTTTAAAATATTCTTTAGCTTCCTTCTGTTTGTACCTTTTATTTACACCCCTTATATTCCAAATTAACCACTTCATTGGCCATAACTGGTTCCCCCTTCATCTAGGGGGTGATCTGCCCAACTCACTGTTCCAACTTCAAATCTGTTAGATATCCCAATAGGGGATAGTGGTGGAAAATTTGTGATGTTAAAAACTGGAGACATCTGTGTAATAACACTCTTCTGCTTGTTCAACTGTTCCTCTACACCATCATGAGATCTTAGTTGTTTTGTATTGTCTGGTTGCTGTACTAGACTGTTCTGAACCACATGAGATGTATTGTCTGGTTGCTGTACTTGATTTCCTTGGCTGTTCTGGACCACAGGAGCTGGTGCCTTAGCTCTCCATTGCTGTGTCATTCTAGGCTTGACTGAGGGGGCAGGTTTAGTCAAACAGTTATGTCCCACCATCAGACACTTCTCACAATATGATGGCTTCCAATCATATGACACATCTTGCATAAAGCTCTTTCCATTTGGATCCATCAGTTCAATCTCACTTGGTAATGTTTTTGATACATTCAGCTCAATTAGCATACGAGCATAAGAGACTCTACTTTGCTTTGTTGTGCATTCATCAGCAAAGATGGGTTTCCCCAGCACACTTGCAATTCTACTAAGTGATTTACTACCCCAACAGGATATGGGTAAATTAGGAAATTTAATCCACAGGGGAATTTCTGTTGGAAAAGCATCTTTAACATCCAGATCAGTCGACCACTGTTTCAAAATCATAGGCCTATTAGCAATTGAATACGGGCCTCCACACAATATTTCTTTAGCATCTTCAAGTGACTGAAATTTAGCTATATAGTAGCCCTCATCATGGTAAAATAATTCAGGCTCAGGCACATGAGACCAGTGTATGCTAATAAATCTTTTCATAGCATTGTACCCTGGTCCATTGCCTAGAACAAAAATAACTAG